GAAGGAAGGAAGGAAGGAAGGAAGGAAGGAAGGAAGGAAGGAAGGAAGGAAGGAAGGAAGGAAGGAAGGAAACAAGGGAGGGTAGGAGGGAAGGAGGGAGTGAGGAAAGGAGGGAGGGAAGGAGGGTTGGAGGGAAAGAAATACAGGAACAATTTCCTGAAGTATTGTGGAGGTTAGAAAGTTGAGCTGGATTCTCTTGCTTGGTTCCTTGCTGACTCAGCCAATGGAACACCTGTGGTAATGTCTGGAGGGATTTCTGTAGATGGATGGGAAGTCTTTCTGGTGCATTGTGTTTTATATTTCAAAGAGAAGCTGGGCTGTGTAGGTCACACCTTTAACCCTATCACTTTTTGGTGTACTCCACTGATTGGATTCTTCTCAAGGGCAATACCCTAGCAAGGTGTGATCTGAGACGCTCAGAAATCCCATCAGAACCTGCTCTGGGATTCTTAAATCTGCAATGGAGAGGATGGGGTTGGGCTATAAAGATTCCCAGGGGTCAGAGAACACCAAAGTCCCAGAGCACCGGAGTCTAGGATGTGACCTCCAGACTGACGTATCTTCACTTGTTGATGTCAATTATTGTTCCTGCATTTACCATCTTGATTTCCTGTACATGAATATGGGCTATGAAAAAAACAATTCCCATTTGTGTCTCATCAGAAGGGAAGATTAGCTCTGTCATTTGACTATCACTGTCTCTGTGTTGATGAGGCTGAATTTTCCATTATATAAAATATTGACTTGCTTTTTCACTGAGACCAATTATTTTTCCCCCTTCCTTTTTTGAAATCTGTGAATTCCATTTAAATTATCCACAAATTATCTACAAAATGCAAGGCTGAAAGTATTTCTTTCCAGATTTTAGTTTCATAAGCCATCTTAGTTAATAAAAAAGAAAAAAAGTATGTTTTTTTATTCTTAAAGAGCAATTTAAGCTCTCTGTTCTCTCTGCTCTTTTCTAGCTCTTTCTCAGCTCTTTACTTCTCTTCTCTTTCCTAGCTCTCTCTTTCCCACCTTTCCCAGATGCTCTCTTTTCTATCTCTTTTCTAGCTCTTTTCTCTTCTCTTTCCCAGCTCTTTTCTCTTTCCTATCTCTCTCTTTCTCACCTTTCCCAGATACTCTCTCTCTGCTCTTTTCTAGCTCTTTCTCAGCTCTCTTTTTCCCAGCTCTCTCTTCTCTTTCCCAGATCTTTCCCAGCAGGTCTACTGAATAAACCTACCCCTTACCTGAATACTACGTTCATGGTGCTATTCTTACTCGGCTACCTCTTTTTAAAAACCTAACATAAATGGTGCCGTGACTCGGATAAAGGGCTTAAAGTCAGGATCAATGGGATTCCTCTCTGGGTTTTTTTCCTCTTTTTTCTTTTTTGTTTGTTCTTCCCTTTCTGCTCTGAGGAATACCCACAGTTCTGACAGCCTTTTGCGAACCCATCTGTCTGCTGCGGACACAGCGCATCGATACCATTGCTGGCCTTCACAGCCACGTCCACACCACTTCTCTACTCTGGCCCTGGCAACTGAGGCCCAACCATGTGATGTGCTTTGTTAGCAAAGATGTCTAAATATTGTTGTCAAAATTTTAGATTTTGAGTTTTGCCTTTTTTTGTTTTGTGTTGTGTATTCTACTGACTACATGGTTCTAAAATACTGGGCATATCTGTGCTAAAATTCTCATCACATCTAATGAGTTTTGTCACTTCAGAATATTTGTTGGCAATTCTTGATAAGGACCAGGTAAGCTCTACTTATTCTACTTGATCTCCTTGTTGCTTTAATTGGAAATAATAAAGGGCTTTTGTGGCAAAGATTGCAGTTCAAAGCCAGCTCAGGCCGAAAAATCCCTAAGACTCCATCTCCCAACTAACCTGCAAAGAGCCAGGCTGGAAGCATGGCTCAAGACTCTTATCTCTAACCAGCCAAACACTGGAAGTGGTACTGTAACTCAATGTGGTAGGGCACTAGCCTTGAGCAGAAGTGTTCAGGGACAGTGCCCAGGCCTTGAGTTCAAACCTCCTTGAATACCAACTGGGGCAAGCCATCCCAGCAAAGAGCACCTAGATTCAGCCAGTCTGGGGAACAAGGGAACATGGAGAGGAGTAAGAGGAGATGATGTCACATCAGCTACTTTGTGCCTGCCCTTTCAAAATTAACCAGAGCCGGGAGGTCAGTAGGAGTAAGAAGCCTGCCCATCCAATGTCTATAACTGTCTACCTATTAACTGAACAGGAATTTATATTCTTGCCTTTGTCACCTGACTTCTCTACCTACTCACCAGATATCAGAAGTAGCTAAGGACATTTCTACCAACATTTTCAGCCTTAAGTCCTTCCTCTTGCCATTTATTTGCTCTCTAGTATTTTTTTTCCAGCCCCTCAATGCTCATGAGACTTCTCCAGACTTCACCCAAGGACTCAATCCACCAAGGGACAGCTGCTGTTCACTGCCTTCTCTGAGAGGGACCAAATTCCAGCCTTTTACCCCTATTGTCGCTGCCCCTTGTCAGCAGGAAGTAGCCAGAGAGAATCCGTGCCCTATTTCATGATTATTAAAAGGCTGGAATGTAAGGTCCACTTCTGGATGGCTAGCAGACTCCACCCTCCTCGCAGCAAAGTCTCCACCCAGTACCTGCGTTACCTAGGCAACTGGGACACCTGGAAGGTCACATCTGCATCCGCCGAGGTCACATCTGAATTTGATGTGGCCACACCTTTCTCCGCCCATACCTTAGACAAGGCCTAGTCCAGGCCCAGACTCTCTCTGCTCTCTCTCTGCTCTTTTCTAGCTCTTTCTCAGCTCTTTCCTTCTCTTCTCTTTCCCAGCTCTCTTCTCTTTCCTAGCTCTCTCTTTCCCACCTCTTTCCCAAATGCTCTCTTTTCCAGCTCTTTTCTCTCTTTTCTAGCTCTTTTCTCTCTTTCCCAGCTCTCTCTCTTTCCCAGCTCTCCCAGCTCTCTTTCCCAGGTCTTTCCCCACCGTGTGGAGTGCCAACCTTGCCTGGTCCCAGCAAGTCTACTGAATAAACTTACCCCTTACCTGAAAAAAAAAATTTTTTTTGGTTCCTCTGTCGAATGTGAATGCTAGCTTTGCTGGATACACCAGTCTGGGATGGCAGTTATTGTTCTTAGGCCTTGGATGGTACTTTCCCAGACTTTCCTTGCATTCAGTCTTTATGGAGAGATCTGCAGTGATTCTGATTTTGCCCATTGTAGTATAGCTCCTTTGCTTTTGCCGCATGCAGGATCCTTTATTATTTAGAACTGGCGTTTTTACTATGATGTGTCTACAAGTGTTCCTCCTGAGATCCTGTTTGCTAGGTATTCTATATGCTTCTGTTATGTAGGTGAGATTCTCTCTTTAAAAATTGGGGAAATGTTCAGCAATAATTTTATTGAATAAGTATTGCATCCCTCTATTCTAGTATTCTTTACCTCCATTGACCCCAATTATATGAAAGTTAAATTTCTTGGCATTGTCTGCTTGGAAATCCCTTTAACATATTTTGATTGTTTTTCCAAATCTGTGACTTTTTTCCAATTGCTGCATTTTGTCCTCAGTACCTGATATTCTATTTTCCATTTCATTCACTCTATTAACTATGGCTTCCATTGTGGTTTTCATGGAGGAAATTGAACCATTTATAATTTCTATGTTGGTTCTCAAAGTATTAATTTCATATTTTAGTGAGGTGTGTAATGCATCTATTTTTGAGTGCATCTCTTGTTTGAAATCCTGGATCTCATTTGATAATTCATTTCTTTGTTCTCTACATTTCTGATCCATTTCTCACTTTAATTCTTGAGTCATTGCCTCTATCAACTCTTGGATGTAACGTTCGTCTTCCATTTCTTTTTGTTTTCACTGGAGTTCTTCCTTGGGTGGCTGCTGGCCTTTGGGGATGGTTTGCTGTCTTGCCTGTTCATGAATCTTATAATTTTTCACTGTGATTTTCGCATGAGGATTCAGGGATTATCCGAGTCAAATCCTGAACTCTTGATCAGTAAGTGGCTGCCTTTGCTTGGTTTGGGGTTGGTTCCTGGCTCAGCACCCACCTGCAACACACAGATGGGGCCCCTTCTTCCACTGGCTATTGGAGCCCTTGAGCCTAGTTCCTGACTTCAGATAGGAACTGGCAGCGCAGCTCCACTTAGTCTCTCACCCAGGGGGACCCAGGCAGGGCTCATTCCACCACCCGCTGTTGGAGCCTGCTCGTGGTTCCTGACTTCACCTGGTACCTTTCATTTAAATAGTTAGAGCACCTGCCCAGAACCCCCAGGTTGGACTCCTTCTGCTGCCGCCTGCCTACCAGCCGTTCCCGACTTCAGCCAGGGACCGACAGTGCAGCTCCACTTGAACTCCCAACCTAGGGGACCTAGGTGGGCCTCACTGGTGGCTGTTTGTGGTTCCCAACGTGAGCAGGTACCATCAGTTTAAGTTGTTAGGGCACCCACCCGGACCACACTGGTAGGACTCCTTCCACCTCCAGCTGCTGGAGCCTGCCCAATGCTCCCGACTTCAGCCAGGGACCCACAGCACATTTCCACTTACACAACGCCCACCTGGGAAGACACAATTCACTGGAACCTGCTCAAGGTTCCAGACTTCAGCCAGGGAGCCTCGATGTAAATTGTTAGAGCAGCCACCCAGAACACACAGGTGGGGCCGCTGATGGTGCCATGCTCAGCTCCCAGCTTCAATGAAGGACGGGCTTCGACCTGGCAGGTGGGGTGTATTCCAAGGGTTGCTTGGATGCTTTCACACTTCCCACATTCAGTGGGTCTAGTCACCCCTATGGAGGGGGAGGTGTTTGGTTCAAGCTCTGGGGGGTTACTGCTAGCTCTGGTCTCCCATAGTGGGATGGGGTGGCATGGCCCCCGTGGGGTAAACATTTATCCTGTAACTGGTTAAGGGCTGTCCAGTGGTGGTGTGGCAGATCACTATATCTGTGCACTGTAGATTGCCAGTTGCCACTGGGCTATGTTGCGATGACTTGTGGGATGGGCAGGATGGTGGGGGGGGGCTCTCTCCTTCCTTCCTTCCTTCTTCCCTCTCACCAACCCTCCCTCCTTTCATTCCTGCCTACCTTTCTACCTTCTTTTCCTCCTTCCTTTTAAATTTTGTACTGAAACAGGACTTGAACTCAGCACCTTGGGGCTGTATCAGAACTGACTTTTATCAACACTCGTGTTGTATCACTTGAGCCACAACACTAATTATGGGATCCTAGGAACTCTATTTTTGGTCCAGTTTGGTTTAAACTGAGACCCTCTGATATCAGACTTCTTGAGGCTCTAGGATTCTAGGAGTACTAGAATGTGGCCTGAGGAGGTTGTTGGAGATAATACTCACATACTTTCATGCCTGGCTGGCTTCTGAGATCAGATCTCAGGCTCCTGAATAGAATTCCAGATATGAGACATTGGAACCAGGTGTGAGTATTCTTTTCTCCCTTTTTGTTTTGGATGAGTTTGTGTGTGTGTGCCTGGTTGGGCACAAAGTGAATATTTCTTCTACAAGTGCAAAGGAATAGTGATTTGCATTTCAAAGGCACATTGCATCAAATCTCCATGACTACAGCTTTAACTACTGAGCATTCCCATTCTCAAATATGTTGGAAAAGTAAAGAGTTCTCCTGGCTTGAATGGGATATCATTAGGTATTTGATCTGGCATTTTTCCAGTATACCTTTTCCACAGAAAGTGACCAATGTCTGTTTGACCTTGGTCATGGGTTTGTGTGTGCACTTGCGCCAGGTCTGGCACTAGGTGCGGCCTTGAGCTTTTGTGCTCAAGGCCAAATATTACTACTTGAGCTACTTCTAGCTTTTTTGGAAATTCACTTGAGATGAGTCTCCCAAGGACTTTCCTGCCCAGGCTGGCTTTGAACTGGGATCCCCAGATCTCAGACTTGCTGAGTAGCTAGCATTCTAGCCATATGCAATACTCTCAGTCTCTGGTGCCACAAAATGATCTCTCTCTACCCCTGTGTTTCCATTCTTTTTATTTTCAATTGAGTGATACAGTACATTCTAGAGAGCAAGGGATTACCCCACAACTTAGAGGTTTGCTTACAACCATTAGGAAAAACAAGATGGTGTTGTAGATCTTTCCAGGCTGAATTGACTCCAGATTCCTGATGGTGTGTGCACAGGGCAGATATATCCCAAAAATGCCCCAAAACTTCTGAGGTTCCACAGCTACCATTGAACTAAAAAGCACAGGACCAGTCTCCCTGGCTCATCTACCCATACTAAACGTTGGAGTTTATGTCCCCTGGAGAATGCATTTCTTTCCCAGCTTTCATTTTTGATGCTGAGAAGAGATTCCAGGAAAGGCTCCTGACTACACAGGAAGAGCAGAAAGGCCAGGACGCCCTCCTCTGTGACCACCCAGAACCATCGGGTATGAGGCTATAGAACTGGCAGGCTGAATTTACCCAAATGAGCACAAAAAAGACCACACTAAAGCTAACAGCACAACTATGCTTATTGCAGCATTATTTACCATACCTAAGATATGGAACCAACCCAGATGCTCCTCAGTAGATGAATGGATCAAGAAAATGTGGTATGTATACACACACACACACACACACACACACACACACACACACACACACAATGGAATTCTATGCCTCCATCAGAAAGAAGAACATTGCCCCATTTGTTAGGAAATGGAAAGACTTGGGAAAAATTATATTAAGTGAACTAAGCCAGGCCCAAAGAAACATAGGTCCCATGGTTTCCTTTATTTGCAATAACTAGTAGATGTCTAGGACAAGCAGAAAATGTCAAAAGCTATACAAATGACCATAGAAGATGATGTTAAGCAAAATGAAACCCAAAGTAGGGACACAAGTGATTTTTTCTTCTTGCTATGGTTTTTAATGTACTTATAATATACTGTGTGATTTTTGGTTTCTTTTGTATGTTCTTTCCCAATGGTATAACCCCTGTTTACACTCTATTTGATTCTGATGCCCTGCATTTTTTTTTCTAATTTGGGGAGGGGAAGGGAAAAAACAAAATGCTTAAATTGGGATACAGGTTGACACATTGTGACAATGAGATGCACAGACACTATGTTGAAAATGAACTTTACAACTTCAGGTGTGGGGTGGGAGGACATCAGGGCAGGGTTGGGGGGGAGGGAGGAGGGAGTAGTTGGGGAAATAAGGGATAGTCAGGGAAAAACAAAGCAGGTGCTAACAATGCTTGATAGGAAATGTACTCATTACCTTACTCATGTAACTGTAACACCCTCTGTACAGCATCTTTACAATAATATATATTAATATAAAAAAATAAAAAATAGCTTGTCCACTCATGCTATTCCCAGGGATCCAGGGCTTAGCCCCCACTTTCTCCCCACACCATCTTCCAACTCCACATCTTAGCTCTTCACCATCAGCTGGAGCCCTCCAGAATCTTTCCAGAAAGTCAGTGCTCTGGGCGAAGCCACTGACTGCAGTGTTTCACCAATGTTTCTGGAGGTAATTGCTTATTAGCCATTGCTGTTCCATTCAAGGGGAACTTTAAGGCCAAGGGGAGCAGAGAATGAGATTTGTAGAGGGGATGCTGGTGATTGTGGGGGACGGTGTCCCTTTCCCTTAGATCACCACGGGAGTGAGCCTGGCCTGCTGTCTCCTAACTGCGTCTTTCATGGTAACTCATTCCTGAGCCTGTCCTACCACTTTGGAAAGCTAGAAATCTGTTATGCTATGAAGATTAGACACCCTCAATGTTTATTGGACATAAATGACTACACGTAAATGAGTGAATGACAGCATTGGAATCGGCACAGTATCCTGAGAACAATCTTCTTTCTGCATTCTTGGCAGTAGGTTGTCTTCCCTCATGGACCTGCTCCTGCCACCCAGCATCCACCCTGATGTCAAGTATCCAACCAGGGCATCACACATAGGGATTTTAAATAATACCTGCCTTGCTGGGTGCTGTGAGCTCTTGCTCAACTCTCTAGTGTAAACATCCAAATCCGCCACACTGTCACTGCTATATATACAGTGCTGAAAAGAGAATAACAGGATCTCCTTCCTTAGAATAAAACAGTGGAGAGCTCTAGCTAGGGGAGGGTGGAGAGACTGACTTCTTCCTTCCGTCCTTGAGTTACAAGGGGACCTGTCCCTCCTGAAAGCTTCGGATTCCAAGGATACATTTTTGTATAGGGAACTATGTGCAGAAAGTAAGGCATAAACTTCAACATGTGACAATATTTGGTGTACAAGTGGTAGATGACTTCCTCAGCTTGGGAAGTAGAGCTAAGGGATAAACTGAAAATCTGCATAAACCTGACTCTACCCCCATGCTCCTGCACAGTTTAGGGGAGACAGCCCACACCCAGGACAGAAATCTGAATTGCCCTTAAGCCACGACTGATTGACATTTCCAGTAAACTCTGTGTTCTGAGAGTTCATTGGGAGGAAGCCTTAAAACTCCCAATTATTTTGGAGTCTCAGAACTTGGATTTTTGGGTTCTCCCAGGAAGGAAGGAAGGAAGGAAGGAAGGAAGGAAGGAAGGAAGGAAGGAAGGAAGGAAGGAAGGGGAGGTCCTGGAGGACCTGGCCAAGTCACCAGACTTGGAAACCTTCAAGGCTGTCCTGGATGGGCTCAATCTGCTACTTGCCTATAAGGAACACCTCAGTCAGTGGAAGTTACAAGTGCTCGATTTGTGGAATGAGCACCCAGAAATATGGACACAGGGGTACTCCTCCATTGCCCGAATTTCTTCTCCAGATGTTCTCACTGACAGATCCACATCAAGTCCCTGTTCAGGGATGACTGACGAGCAGCCTTTGTTGATTGCTATTGACCTGACAATCAGAATTGACGATCAGAATTGATGCCCAGGATGATCTGCAAGCCTACTTGCTCCAGTGGGCCAGGGAGAGGAAAGAATGAGTCCAGCTGTGCTCAAGGAAGCTTCAGATTCTCCAGAGCTCCTGATACAAAATCAACGAGACTACTTGTGGTGAGGCTGGACTCTAATCTGCACTCCTGGAATGTTGGTCAAATTGGGTTTTTACATGCGGCACATTTAGAACCTTCCCATCTTCAAATGCACCAAGTTTTGGTATGTTCATTACAATATCCATTACAATTACTTGTATGGACACCAATTTTGGGTTGAGCTGGGGCAGCTGCAGCATGTACAGGAGCTTCGTGTACAGGATGTCTTCTTCTTTGATGGAAACCTGCCCACTATCAGGAGCCTAATACCTTTGAAGACCTTGTCTCTGAATGAAATTAAGATGCAGAAGCCAACCTTTGAATTCTGTCACAGTGTCCCTGCACCAGGTAGCTCAAGCACCTGTTTGAGGAATTTGATCCAGGACATCTTCAGTCCAGAGCCCCTGTGAGCCCTGCTGGAGCAAGTAGCTGGCTCCCTGGAAACCCTAGCTCTGGAGCACTGTTATATCACTGATGACAGGCTCTCTATCATCTTGGCTGATCTGAGCCAGTGCTCCCAGCTCAGTTTCTTCAGTATCTATGAAAACCCCATCTCCATGGCCACTCTGCAGAACCTCCTGAGGCACACGTCCAGGCTGGGCCATTTGAGACTAGGGAACTATCCTGACCCTCTAGAGAGCTACCACATGATTGGAGGCCAGGGGACTTGAACCATAAGAGTATTGCCCAGTTTCAGGATGATCTGGCATGGGCTGGGAAGGTGGCTCAGTGGTAGAGCACTTGCCTTGCATGCATGAGGCCCTGGGTTCGATTCCTCAGCACCACATATGCAGAAAAAATAGTTGGAAGTGGCGCTGTGGCTCAAGTGGTAGAGCACTAGCCTTGAGCTGAAGAGCTGAGGGACAGCGCCCAGGCCCAGAGTTCAGGTCCCATAACCGGATCCAGCCTGCCAGGTCATGGTTGGTCCTCCATTGAAGTCAGGAACTGGGTGAGCAAGCTCCACCAGCCCCACCTGTGTATTCTGGGTGGGTGCTCTAACAGCCTACATCAAGGCTTCCTGGCTGAAGTCTGGAACTTGAGCAGGTTCCAGCAAAACCATCCCAACCTAGGTCCCCCCAGATGGGAGTTTTACTGCTACTGAGCTGAGGGACCCTGGCTAAAGTCAGGAGTGTTGGGCAGGCTCCAGCAGCTGGAGGTGGAAGGGGCCCCACCTGTGTGGTCTGGGTGGGTGCTCTAACAACTTAAACCATGGGTACCTGGCTGAAATCAGGAACTGCAGGTGGACAGCTGGAGAAGGAACGCCATCTGTGTGTTCCAGGTGGGTGCCTTAACAACTTAAACCGAGGGTACCTGGCTGAAATTGGGAACTGCAAACAGCCTCCAGTGAGGCCCACCTAGGTCTCCCCGGCAGGAGTTCAAGTGGATCTCCACTGTTGGTCCCTGGCTGAAGTCAGGAACTCCAGGCAGGCAACAGCAGAAGGAGCCCAACCTGTGGGTTCTGAGCAGCTTCTCTAACAACTTAAACTGAAAAAAAAAAGTCACGGATTTGGAAAAAACAATCAAAATACGTCAAAGGGAAGTCCAACAGCAAACAGACATTGCCAAGAAATTTAACATTCATATACTTGGGGTAAACAGAAAAGGAATACTAGAATAGAGGGATGCAACACTTATTCAA